TCACCCGCCGTCTTCCGCCGCCACACCCACCACCCACTCTCCATCACCACTACTTGCCCACCACTCACCACCCCACCTGCCACTACCACCCGCCACCACCCACTTGCCACCACCACCCACCTCTCGTCGCCACCACACCCACCTGCCATCCACCCACCACTACCCACCACCGCCCGCCACCTACTTCCCACCACTACTACTCACCACCCACCTGCCACCACCAGCCACCACCACTACCAGCACCTGTCCACCACCACCACCACCACCACTATTACCCACCACCCACCCGCTACCCACCTGCCACCTACCACCGCCACCGTCACCCCACCACCACCCACTCGCTACCACCCATCACCGCCACCACTCACACACCACCGCCATCCGCCACCCACCACCACCCCCACCCGCCACCATTACCCACCACCCATTCGCTACCACCCACCACCCGCCACGTCACCCACCCACCCACCGCCACCCGCCACCCACCTGCCACCACACCCCACACCCGCCACCACCACCACACCACCACCACCACCCACGCGCTACCACCCGCCACCGTCACCCACCCACCCACCACCAGCTACCCATCACCCACCGTCACCACTTTCCACCACCATTTTCCGCCGCCACTTGCTGCACTTGCCATTTCTCACTTTTTTTTATATTTTTAAAATTTTTTTAAACATTTCGTCAATTACCAAACGCGTTTGTAGTTTATGTTTTTTTAAAAATAAATAAAAAATAAACAAAAACCAGTTTATAAAATTTTTGTAAATATAAACTGAAAACATAAACGTTACCAAACACACCCTAAGTATTTTTTTTTTTTTTTTTTTTTCATGGAACTTTTTTTTTTTATAAGAAATTAATGAAACAAGTTTATCAAAGAAAACCAAGTTTATCTAAACGATGAGACTTCATAAGAAAAAAGATGTTTAATAGAGTTGAGGTGGTGATTATTCAGTAATTTGAGAGGACGGTTACATGGTGCTTTATGGTAGTATAATTAATAGGGAAGGTAGGGTATTAATTATTTGTATTGATAATTAGAGAACATAAAAGAACATAATAAATAGTGATTGATGAGGAGTATCAATCAAAAAGAAAAATTCTACTATACACACCCATGAAAACAGTGTACCATTTCCATTCCTAATAATGTCATTTTTTTATGTAGTTATAATAATATTTTAGTTATGACTCATGAGATATTTTAATTATATTTGATTATGACTTAGAAAATATAGAATTATGTTATTTTATTATTTAATTGTAAAGTACATATAATACACAATCTTTCTCGACCTCTCTCTGTGTATTATTATTCAATTGTAAAGTACATATTTATTCAGTAATAATTTTTTCAACCTCCCTTTGTGTATCAAAACTAAACCACACTTTGGATAGTAATATTGTGCAATAATTTTTCGACCTCTCTCTGTGCAATAATTTTTCAAAATTCACACTGAATAATAAATTTTTCAATTACATTTTTATTCGTTTTATGTTTGGTTATTTTTTTAATTTAATTCTTAAATTTTATTTATTTATTTTTTCACTTTAATCGTTCATTGTTTCAAGTTTTCTTTCTCTAATTAAATGGTAAAATTAACTCATGTTCAAAATTAAACTGAAAATGCCACATTTTTTTTTTTTTTTTTGATCGGCAAAAGATAAATCTTTATTGATGAACATACAAAGAGCAATATTACATCAATAAAGAGGAGCTTGGTGCTAGAAAAGCACCAAGCGCCAGTTGGTGAGGAACCAACAAGAGAGAACAATAAAAGAAGCAAGAACAGATAGACTAAACTAAAAGGATCAAAGAACTAACAGTATACACAGCTGTTATGAGCCAAATCCTATGCACCAAAGCAGAATACCAAAACAAACAAACACAGATCTGCAGCCTTCCATCTGCATCTAACTCAGTCCACCCAAACCAGATTCAAGGTGAATTAGCCCCCAGGAACACACTCCACTGCATCTGCATCTGCATCTTCCTCTGTACATAATGCTAGATCTCCTCTGAATCATCCTCCCCTGCTAATTCTGAGAGCATACCATGACCTGCAACAGGCTGAATACCTACCTGAATGAAGACAGCAAACGCCCAGCAGATAAACTCAGACTACACTCTTGCCATAGCCTGTTCCTCCTTCCTTCTGTGGTCATCTTCATGTTCTTCCTTTTTCTGCCTCACCATTTTTCGACAATTGATCCTCTTCATCCTGGGCCATAGGACCAGTGACCTCATTTTCCAAGTGAGAACTATAGCAATGACACGGCTCACCTGCTGTTGGATCTCCTCACACACTCTAACTGGGAATATGTTTCCATTAACATTCAACATGGATCAAGGCAATAGCGCAACGGTTGCGGTAACCGGAACTGTGATTTTTTTTATTTTTTGCACAATTTGAAGAAAATTTACCAATATATATATATATATAGAATCATATTTATTGGGGTTTAAAATAGATTTTGATCAATTTTTGTTAATTTTTAAGTATGATCCAATATATTTTATATTTTCAAATCACTATAAAAGGAGTTTTTTACATTTTATTTTTAATAGTTAATGACTTTATGAATAATTGATTTTAAATGTTTATAAATTATTTTTGACCAATACCTGAACTAACTGAATAAAAAATATTTACAATTATTAAATGAAATGATTATAAAAATAAAAATTATGCCATGAACAAAAATTATTTTTGAAAAATTTTTTTTAGACAACATTTTACAGCTAACTAAATAAAAAATATTTACAATTAAATATTAAATAAAATGATTATAAAAATAAATACAACAACTATTTATATATATTTTTATTTTACATGCTAATGTGATGAAATAAAAATTAATAAAAAAAAAATTCATATAATATATATTTTTTTGGATTTGGATCACTTGAGTATTTATTTATTTTTTGTAAACTTTTTTTTTTGGGGGGAAAGGAAGTAATTCAGAATATTGTAAAAGAGTGTAACGGACCGTTACGGTACTGCTACGGCCGTTACATAACACTGAAACGATCGTTATACATGTGAATTTTTTTTCACACCGCTATAGAGGCCATAACGGATAGCGGTAACCACTACAACCGTTACGTGACGGTTGCGGCCGCTTTTTAAAACCTTGTTATGGACTCGGGTATGGGTGTCAAGTGTGTGTATGTATCTAATAAGTGTAATTCCAATGTCCAAGGACATGGGAACATGGCAAAATATGAGTATATTCTGATTGTGTATATATTTTCTTTCCTAGACTAAAATGGTGCTCAAAAGGTGTTATAGAGCATTTCATGCACGATATATTATACATAGTTTGTTGGTAAACTCAAATTATTAAATATGCTTGCTAGAATGTCCAATTACACGTACCAGACACATATCTTGTATCCCTAATCTACTGTCTGACATGGGTATAACATAGCTTGTGGCATTTGATCCTATAAATGTATGTATGAATGTATTCTGTAACAAAAGGTGAGGAGTTATTATTTTACCCCAACTTTTTACTTTATTCCATCCTTCCAAAATCATGAAATGTCATGTGTTGTTCTTGTGTTTCTAGTCTTCTATAAGGATTTCAGTTTGGCCAAAAAAATGAAGTGCAACAGGATTTTATTAAGAAATATATAGGATTGCTTGATGAAAAGAGAACTTATTTATAGAGAACTTTGTAGGTGTAGGACTGATAAATTGATTGTGTTAGAGGGCAATATAACCATCCATGATAAAATATAGCAATAGACATTGAAGGTGTTATCAACCACTGAAACTTGTGGAGGCACTAATCAAGACTATTTGATCCAAAGGAGAAACATATATATAATAGTTGGAAGATACTGGCATGTTGTATGGATAAAGGGGTAGTATGTATTTATGATAAAGGAACTCAATAAAGTTTGCCATTGGATTAGTAAGTTTATTCTCTCATTGTAAGCATTATATGAATTTTGACTTTGCCCTTGTAACTTTTATGCAGGAGTGGCTACTGCTTTTGCAGCTAGAGACATACTTGGGAACATTCTTAGTGGGTTGTCCGTGCAAATTTCACAGCCCTTTTCAATTGGAGATACAATAAAAGTATGTTCAATGGGTTTTGTTTCTTTTAAGTGTATTGGGTATCATTTAATGTGTTTTATTTTTTCTCTTTTCATTTTCATCTGTTTCAAAATGGCAATAAATTAATTTCAAGTGTGATTTTTGTGTGTAAAGTAAGAAAACATGCTATTGTCTCAATAACATTTTTTGTGGCAACAGTACTGTAATTAGAATAAAACAAAGGCTACCACTTTCAATCCAACTCCATCTTAAGCTATATTTGACCAACAGGGACTTAGGGTTGTTTATGGTTTGGCCAAAACTTTAACCACTGAAGGGTCTCTTTTGATGAAGGAAAGAATAGATCATCTTTCTATTAGGTCTTTTTGGGCCACTAATTTGCCTAATTCTTTGTTTGAGGTTTCTATTTTGCTTGAACATGTAACTATTCTAGACAGGGTGGCACTTTAAATGTAGAACCACATGTTACTTCTTAGAATGTTGATAACAATATCATACATTGAATTAAACAAGAAGATAAGATGCTATGCTGTTAGATTCCATGGCAACTAAAGTTGAATTGATTAGACAGCTAAAGTTGAATTGATTAAAGAAGGATAGTTAAGGAAACGGGTGCTTCTGCACTTTTGGCTGCCTTCATTGGTTTAGGTTCCATTGTAAATCCAATCGGGGAGTTGATTTGTTCCAAATTCGGAGTAATGTTGTCTTGAAGTCCAAATGAGTAGCATAATGATGCCCTATGACTACTGGGGTGGTTGAATAATGGGATGATGGTAATGGTTTGTTGAGGTAGATAAACTGGCTGTGGTGAAGGAGATATGAGGAAGGGGAGGGTTTATTTATTTAATTTTTTTTTTTTTTGGGTTAGATATCACATGCATGATGCCAGATCTATTTTACCAGTGTGCAGCCTAGGACCGCATGTAGGAGCAGCCATTTCTGGAAACTCATGGGTCCTGAAGCATTTAAGGAGCAGCTATGTATACACAAAATGCCACTAAACATGCACAACACACACAAGTTCATGTAACAAAAAACGTTTTGAATAAACTAGAAAGCAATAAATGTCAAGGTTTGAGCTATATGGTTTGGTTTGGTGAATTAGTTGTTAGCAATATGGCTTGGTAAACTGTGGAATTAATGGAAGGTGACTTTCACTGCCCTTGCCAATAAAAACCATCAAAATATTTGTAAGGGGTGTAGGTTGGACAAAACATGCAGAAAGCGCATAGATTGGTGCCAAAAGCTGCAGCTGAAGAGATTTTAGCACTCAAACAGCCAAACCCATGGTTACAAAGTCAAATTTACGGTTTCACATTGTAAAATGTCGTCAAAACGAATGTATATTTATATATATTTGAAGAAATATAGAAAGAAAAACCGTAGCACAGTCAAACTTGCAAATTGACTGGAATTTTGATTGGAAATGTGAGTCTGTGGATTTGGGAGCAATGAGTTCCCCAGTTCGAGAAATTTGGTATCCAATAATGGGGATTGTTGTTTTTTTACTGCATCACTGCATGCATTGCTTTCATTTTCTAGCAAATTGTTATGTTCTATGATACATAGCACAGGATTAGCAATGTTCTTTGTTATAGAAGGTTAGACCGTTAAATTACAACAAATCCATAAATTGAATGTGGTTGAAACACATCAAGATGCGAGTGTGAAGGGAAGTAGTCAGTGAATTTGAAGAATAAAATTTTGAGAAGTTGGGGTAGGCACCAATTTGGGACAAGATGGGAGAAACACAATTAGCATGGATTTCCAAGGGCAATGATTAAACGCCACTGCCTCTGTTATTAGGGTTGAAATGGTTCGATTTCATGGTTCTGCAAGGATGAGGACAACTCTAAAATGGACATCGATTAAGTGCAGTGGGTTTTCCAGTTGGAGTGGATCAGTATCTTCATAGTCAGTGGAGGGCTAGAGTGGGGAAGATGAGGAAGAAATGGTGGTGTTGATTCCCTTATGCATTGTCTGAATCATTTGGGTAGCGGAATTGTACGTCTTTTGATTCTATAGAGGTTCCTTTGTAAGTTTGTATAGGCTTCAAAAATATATTTTAAGTGTTTTATATAGTTGAGAATTGGGAGTTATTTTACCCTTCTCTCTCGATCAATTCTTGGATTTTGTTGAGTTTTTTTTATACACGTGCAAGTGTAAAGTGTTTTTTTTCTTTTGTGTGTGTGTGCGCGCGCGCGCGCGCATATGGTGGCATTCCCTTAATGACATCGATAATGAAAAGTTTTTATTTATTAAAAAAAGAGCACAGGTATGGTAATGAAATAGACATGTTGGCATACAAAAGATATATCCTTTTGGTAGACCCTAAGTCATCGGCGCAAGAGCTTTGATGACTTCAGATTCACACTAAAACTGGAATAAGCATCTGTCTAGTTTTATGATATCTTAAGCAAGTCCTTATTACATGACTCTATTTGCTGAGTACAAATTCTTGAATTGCTTGTTCTATTGGAATATTAGTTATTAAACTATTGTCCCGGCTTTGCTCTTTTTAATTCTTTTCATAAGGTTTGAATAATTACTACTTTTGCAGGCTGGATCTGTAGAAGGTCAAGTTGTGGAAATGGGGCTAACAACTACATCATTACTAAGCGCAGAGAAATTTCCTATAATAGTTCCAAATTCACTGTTCTCTAGTCAGGTCGGAATGCTCTCATTTACTTCCATTTTCTTTCTTTTCTGGCTCTTCTATAATTCACCATGCAGACTATCATTCCTGTGTCACCTCAAACTCTTGGTACACACTCTACTTCTATACATTCTAGAACTATATCAAACCAAGCTACTCGAGCTTGGCTCACAATTTGTTCGACTGAAGCTTATTTGAGATCGGCTTGAAAGACAAACAAACCAGTCTTCAATACATTTTTTAAGCTCGTAAAGTTTTCTACACACAATCTACTACTTGATTTGTTCGTCCCTTCTAACATATCTGTAGGGATTTTCGCAATTAAATTTTTCCATGGGCCATTTTCTCATCTAAATTTCATGTGGTTATGTAGTGATTATTTGCTTATTTTCATGTGTGTTGGGGGATATGCTCTCTCTCTCTCTCTCTAATTGCCTAAATCTATGGCTTTTTCTTGGTTATCACTTGATCTTTATATATATATATTGCTTTTATTATGTCATATTTTACTATTGTGGTTTCTCCTGTCATGGAAACCAAAATATTTTCTTGTATATCATTGAGTGACATGTAATTTTTGTAGGTAATTGTAAATAAATCACGGGCCCGCTGGCGTGCCATGGTTAAAAAAATTCCTTTGCAAACTGTTGACGTCAGTAAGATCCCCCTTATAACAGAGGATATTAAGAGCATGCTAAGATCATATCCAAAAGTTTTCTTGGAAAAGGAGCCCCCGTACTGTTACCTATCTCAGATAGGAAGATTGTATGCTGATCTGACTCTGGGATGCAATCTAAAACAAATGGTATCGTCTTCTTTCTCAAATCTTTCCAAATAACAAGCAGGATTGATTATGTCATTTTATTGGTTTGTTTTCTATTTGCTTATGTTTTTTAACCTGTATTTAGTTTCTTAAATCTTTGCATACTAAAATTGACCGATCACTGTGAGCATAATAACCATGAAATCATTTAATTTGTGGGTTTATTCTAAATTAGGGTATAGAAGTATGGGCTTTTGAGCAATCATCACACACTTCACAATTTGTGGTTTCATTTGTCTCTTGTGGTAACCACCTCAAACCATCGGCAATCACCTCACTTGTTTCCAAACTGTTTTTAAAACGCGTATACCAAATGTTTATTTTTACTATAAAAAAAAAAATCACATAAAACAATATATTGGAAAGTTTACCAAACATCATACGATGGCCTTTCTTCTGACATCAGTAAACCTATTAGTTTTAGGCTGCGCTTGGATTTCATAAATAGATGAAACCAAAGTGAAATGTTGAAGAGCTGATTTCTTTCTAAGGCATCAACTTCTTATCATTCATAAGATTTGAAATATTAATACATGTGTTTGCTTTTTGTGTTTCTAGCGATATGTAAGTTTATTTTCTGTCATTGGTGCTCGGACAAATCTTCCTTTCATAATCGAGTTTTGATTCAGCATTTATCATCCGATCTCTTTCCTCTTTCACTTAAAAATGGCTTTTTTTTTGTTTTGTTTTGGGTGGTTGTAGAGCAAAGACGAGCTTTACTCCACAGAGCAAGATATTCTTTTGCAGTCAGTCCAGATAATCAAGCAGCATGGTAGTACATTGGGTAGCAGGACCATGGAAGATATTTAACTAGTGAGACACCGGATCTACAAAATAGTGTCTGTTTGGCAGAGTTTAATTACAGCTTATTTCAGTTTTCAGCTTAATTTAAGTTATTTTGATGTGTTTAGCCTAACTTATAGCTTATAGCTTTTTGGAAGTCAGAAATCAGCTTATTCTTTGAGTGAGGCAGAAGATGCTTTAAGAATAAGCTGGAAATCAACTTAAGCTGAAAGTTATAAGCTATAAGCTGTTGAGGCATAAGTTATAAGCACTTTCTCACAGCTCTACCAAACAGGGCCATAGAAATGCTTGAGTGGCTTTCTTGGTGACTTTTATTTTTAGCTAAAATATGAGTTTGAAAAAAATATGTTTGGGAAAGATTTTTTTATTTTTACCTAAAATATTGTGCAAAAAATTGAGAATGAAAATGAATATTTGACTTTTTGTATAGTCTGTTGATTTTTTGACTTTTATTTCTTTTTTTACTATAGTAGCAGCTAACGGGGCCTCTAAAATGTGTTTCTGCACTTAGATATGCAACCGTCAGCTGGCCAAATTTCGCCTTCGCCGCCGCTGCACCTTCAACCTAAAATTCCCATTTTCAAAATCTCTTCAAAACACCCAAAATAAATAAATAAATAAAAGTAAAAAAATAAAATAAAATAAAATAAATAATTTAATAAATTCTGATGTCAATGGTTAATTTAATCTTGTTATCGTAGAACACGTGATAAATCAATCAAGACATTTATAGATTCAAAACAATTTATTTTCTAAAATTATATTTCTGAAAGAGTGCTGCTATTAACATTTACTTTTTTCTTTTGGACCCCCACCTCTTCCATTTTTTTTATTTCTAATTTTATCCGAACATAAAATTTCACTTTTACCCTTATCCATCATCTTCTAACCCTAACCCTAACCCTAACCCTAACCCTTCTCAACTCCAGCTACCACCTTCATCAGCTGTTGGGCAGTCCTTCACCTCCATCTCCTTCTTGTGAAATGGCGATCTCCACCCCTACCAATCGCGAACCCCACCGCCATTGCAATCTCTCTCTCTCTCTCTCTGCGCATGGCTGGGTCGATAAGGTTTGGAGGCGCGATGGTGACGGGGACGACGATCTGTGACCTCAAACCCTAGCCACCTCTATCGTCGTCGCGATCAGAGATCTCAACCCTAGCCACCGTCGTGATTTGTGACCTCAAGCCCTAGTTGTCGTTGCGATCTGTGGCCTCAAACCCTATTCGTCTTCGTTGCTGTTGCAATTTGAGTTGGGATGAGCAGCGATCGATGATGGTAGCTAGGCAATGGTGGCGAGAGAGAGAGAGAGAGAGGGCTCGCGGTGATGGCTCTAGATTGAGGTTGTCTGAAGCTGCTGGGGGTGGTCAACTGTGGAGGTTGCGATGAAGTTGACCGAAAAGTGGCTCTGGATTGGAGTTGACAGGAGAGTGGTGTCGACGGTGGAGGTTGTGGCTAGAGTTGACAATGGTTGGGTTGGGAAGGTGGGTTAGAGTGAGGATATAGTTGGAATTAAGGTGGGAGTTTAAAGAGAAAATGGAGGGGCCTCATTTAGCTGGATGAGGGTTCAAAGAAGTGAGTGGTCCAAAGAAGAAAGGAAAGTGCTAATAGCAGCACTTTTCTAAAATTGTAGAACCACTCAAATCTCCTTGCCAATCAGAACAAACCATCGCCATATCCCGCCACTTTCACAAAAAAATCACCTATCAACTTCACAAACAAACACAAACACACACACAAAGAGGACATGGATTCTTTACAATAATGACGGTCGCAATAATTTTTTCATTCAAAATTTTGACAAATATTTATTTAGGAAAACTATTTACATGTTAGTGCATTATATTCATGGTCATTATTAAATTTATGTAACTTGGGCCCTAAATTAAATGCACCTTATATTTCTTAAACTTTGTTTAATATTGGGCATGACCTGTATAATGGTTATAAATTATAAGTAAAATTTTAAATTATTAACTTAAAATAAGTTATAAATTTATTTGGTGCAGTGTAACTTTTGATAATTTATATAACATTTTTATTGTGTAGGTATTCATAATACCTCAAAAATTATTACTAAGACAAAGATATGAGACTCTTATGTTCATATATATTCAAGGGTTTCAAATAAATTTAAAAAAAAAAAAGAAGTTACAAGTTATAGTTTAGAAAACCTCTATTTTTAGCCAAATAAGCTAAAAAAATATCAAATAAATTATAATTTAAAATTACAACCAAATAAACTTAGTTACACAATATAATATAATATAATATTTGCATACTAAAATTGACCGATCACTGTGAGCATAATAACCATGAAATCATTTAATTTGTGGGTTTATTCTAAATTAGGGTATAGAAGTATGGGCTTTTGAGCAATCATCACACACTTCACAATTTGTGGTTTCATTTGTCTCTTGTGGTAACCACCTCAAACCATCGGCAATCACCTCACTTGTTTCCAAACTGTTTTTAAAACGCGTATACCAAATGTTTATTTTTACTATAAAAAAAAAAAATCACATAAAACAATGTATTGTAAAGTTTACCAAACATCATACAATGGCCTTTCTTCTGACATTAGTAAACCTATTAGTTTTAGGCTTTGCTTGGATTTCATAAATAGATGAAACCAAAGTGAAATGTTGAAGAGCTGATTTCTTTCTAAAGCATCAACTTCTTATCATTCATAAGATTTTAAATATTAATACATGTGTTTGCTTTTTGTGTTTCTAGCGATATGTAAGTTTATTCTCTGTCATTGGTGCTCGGACAAATCTTCCTTCCATAATCGAGTTTTGATTCAGCATTTATCATCCAATCTCTTTCCTCTTTCGCTTAAAAATGGCTGTTTTTTTTTTGTTTTGTTTTGTTTTGGGTGGTTGTAGAGCAAAGACGAGCTTTACTCCACAGAGCAAGATATTCTTCTGCAGTCAGTCCAGATAATCAAGCAGCATGGTAGTACATTGGGTAGCAGAACCATGGAAGATATGATTTAACTAGTGAGACACCGGATCTACAAAATAGAAATGCTTGAGTGGCTTTCTTGGTGACTTTTATTTTTAGCTAAAATATGAGTTGAAAAAAATATGTTTGGGAATGATTTTTTTATTTTTACCTAAAACATTGTGCAAAAAATTGAGAATGAAAATGAATATTTGACTTTTTGTATAATCTGTTGATTTTTTGGCTTTTTATTTCTTTTTTTACTATAGTAGCAGCTAACGGGGCCTCTAAAATGTGTTTCTGCACTTAGATATGCAACCGTCAGCTGGCCAAATTTCGCCTTCGCCGCCGCTGCACCTTCAACCTAAAATTCCCATTTTCAAAATCTCTTCAAAACACCCAAAATAAATAAATAAATAAAAGTAAAAAAATAAAATAAAATAAAATAAATAATTTAATAAATTCTGATGTCAATGGTTAATTTAATCTTGTTATCGTAGAACACGTGATAAATCAATCAAGACATTTATAGATTCAAAACAATTTTCTAAATTTATATTTCTGAAAGAGTGCTGCTATTAACACTTATTTTTTTCCTTTGAACCCCCATCTCTTCCATTTTTTTTTTTATTTCTAATTTTATCCCAACATAAAATTTCACTTTTACCCTTATCCCTCATCTTCTAACCCTAATTTTTCAAACCATAACCCTAACCCTAACCCCTCTCAACTCCGGCTACCACCTTCTTCAGTTGCTGGCCAGCCCCTCACCTCCATCTCCTTCTCCTTGTGAAATTGCGATCTCCACCCCTACCCATCGCGAACCCCACCGCCATTGCAATCTCTCTCTCTCTCTCTCTCTGCGCATGGTTGGGTCGATAAGGTTTGGAGGCGCGATGGTGACGGGGACGACGATCTGTGACCTCAAACCCTAGCCACCTCCATCGTCGTCGCGATCAGAGATCTTAACCCTAGCCGCTGTCGTGATTTGTGACCTCAAGCCCTAGTTGCCGTTGCGATCTGTGGCCTCAAACCCTAGTCGCCTTCATTGCTGTTGCAATTTGAGTTGGGATGAGCAGCGACCGATGATGGTAGCTAGGCAATGGTGGCGAGCGAGAGAGAGAGAGAGAGAGGGCTCGCGATGGTGGTTCTAGATTGAGGTTGTCTGAAGCTGCTGGGGGTGGTCAACTGTGGGGGTTGCGATGAAGTTGACCGAAAAGTGGCTCTGGATTGGAGTTGACAGGAGAATGGCGTCGACGGTGGAGGTTGTGGCCAGAGTTGACAATGGTTGGAATGGGAAGGTGGGTTAGAGTGAGGATATAGTTGGAATTAAGGTGGGAGTTCAAAGAGAAAATTGAGGGGCCTCATTTAGCTGGATGAGGGTTCAAAGAAGTGAGTGGTCCAAAGAAGAAAGGAAGGTGCTAATAGCAGCACTTTTCTAAAATTGTAGAACTACTCAAATCTCCTTGCCAATCAGAACAAACCATCGCCATATCCCGCCACTTTCACAAAAAAATCACCTATCAACTTCACACATACACACAAAAAGAGGACAGAGACTCTTTACAATAATGATGGTCGCAATAATTTTTTCATTCAAAATTTTGACAAATATTTATTTAGGAAAACTATTTACATGTTAGTGCATTATATTCATGGTCATTATTAAATTTATGTAACTTGGGCCCTAAATTAAATGCACCTTATATTTCTTAAACTTTGTTTAATATTGGGCATGACCTGTATAATGGTTATAAATTATAAGTAAAATTTTAAATTATTAAGTTAAAATAAGTTGTAAATTTATTTGGTGCAGTGTAACTTTTGATAATCTATATAACATTTTTATTGTGTAGGTATTCATAATACCTCAAAAATTATTACTAAGACAAAGATATGAGACTCTTATGTTCATATGTATTCAAGGGTTTCAAATAAATTAAAAAAAAAAAGAAAGAAGTTACAAGTTATAGTTTGGAAAACCTCTATTTTTAGCCAAATAAGCTAAAAAAATATCAAATAAATTATAATTTAAAATTACAACCAAATAAACTTAGTTACACAATATAATATAATATAATATAATAAGTATAACCTTATTCAAGAAAAAATGTACCAATTATAAAATCTGAAAATTAAAAGTGAATCTTATAGAAATTTTGAAATATGAAATCATGGAAATTACAAAACATAAATATATAAGTAATATTATAACCATATGCATCCTCTAGCAGAAGAAAAAACTTACAATGAAAATTTGTTATTGGCTATATTGCGAATAAATATATACATTTTCTCAATAGCCTCTGTTATTCATATTTGTGCACTTGATAAATATAGATTTTAAACATTGAACCGAGACCAAAGAGATTGGAGATTTATTTTATAAAAATACATTTAGATTAAATAAATATGCAATAAATTTTTAAAAATTAACATAATTGTTAAATGCATAATAGTAATAAGGATGCGGGAGACTAAAGATTAGAAATTGATCTTTATAAAAAAACATAAACTTACAATGAAATTTTTTTATCAATTGAATTCTTCACAATTGCTCCCTTCACCAACAGTTACAACATTTGATGAACACCGACTCTAATTTGACTTGAATCCAATGAGTACAAGAGAGAAGATTTATGGGAGATGTGAATTGCTTCTCATAATTTGTGATACAAAATTTTAAAATTGATTTAGCGTTCTTTTCTTTTAAAAAAGTCATAAATTATGAGAAAATTAGATTTTTTTTAATAGTTAGATGGCACACTTTTGAATTTTGAAATGAGTTAGCATATTTTCCTTTTAAATTTCATAAATCATTATATAGTTATATTTTTATTGTTGATAAAGTGTTACCCAATAGATTTTTTTTTAATTTTTTTAATAATAAATAAAAATTAATCAAGAAATTTACTATGTGGGCTTGGAAATAAATAAAAATAAAAATAATTTTGATTTTTTTTTTAAATGTAATTTTGAAAGTTTACTATATTGAATTTTGAAAGGAGAATTATTATAAATTTTGAAAAAGATTTCTATATTAGTTATAGCATAGATAATGTGACTATTTGAAAGATTTTTTTAATTATTATTATAAATTTTAGATTCTATTGAATTATTTATCATATTTAATGACACATAATTTAAATCTTGAAATGGAAAAATTTATATATTTTTAAAAATCATAAATTGTGGAATAATTAGAGTTTTTTTTATTTATTATAATTAGATTTTAGTGAATTGCTTCCGTATTAGTGGCATACAAATTTAAATTTTGAAATAATTGAGCATAATTTACTTTTAGAAGTCATAATTTATGAAATAATCTATATATTATATAAGGAAAATGGAGTTTCTAACCCACAAGCCTTGTGGGATCTCCAAGTTCTCAATCTAAGTTTCATAATTTTTTGAATTTTAAAAATTAAAAAAATCTTCTATTGGCTAGCTCTTATTCAAGCAAAAATAAATAAATAAATAAATAAAAATTGAGAGCTTTTTTAGTAAATCCATTATCTAAGAGTGTTGTTCCATGAAACCCATACTGTTTTATAATATTCCATTAGGTCCATTTTATACAAAAAGACCAAAAAAGCCCTAAAAAAACACGCGCCCCTCTCTCTCTCTCTTTGAATCTAATAACCATTTCTCTTCCCCTCTCTATTCTTGCGCAAGAAATCACGCACAGTACCTCTACAGTCTCAGAAATCCAAACCATATTCCGCATCGCCTCGACGCCCCGAAGACTGTATTCCTTCCATCGTTGCATCTTCGCATCGTCTCATCATCTTCTCCCCATCCCTACGCCGAGAAGCCTGTCTTCGTTCGATCGTCACATCGTCTCATCATCTTCTTCGCCGTTCGTACGCCCAGAAACCTGTATACGTTTCTTCGTCGAATCGTCCCTTCGTCTCAACATCTTTGTCGTCGAAATGGGCAAAAAACGTAAGCATTCATTTATTCTGAACCCCTCAATCGTAATCCCTAAATTTTTTCATTTTTGCACTCAAAAACATTACACTTGCCATTACATTGTGTTCACAACTGTCGACATTCGAAAATGTTCTGGTTGTAGTTGTTGTTATTGAAAAATGTGAACATTCACATCGATTGGAAATGGTTTGATGATCAAATTATTCCAGATGTTATTCCGTTGTTGTTCAATGCTGTGACCATTCACATGGTTTCAAAAATTTTTTGGCCAGTTCTTGTTTTGTTGCTGTTGGTAACAGATATGAACATTCACATTGAGTTAAAATGTTTGCGTAATCAGGTATTAATGGTGTTGTTGTTGTATGCTGTGAAAATTCACAGGCATTGACACACTTTGGCCAATTCTGTTGTTGTTCTTGTTGTGGGAAGATGTGAACATTCACATTGCCTGAAAATTTTAACAATTCAGATATTATTGCCTGAAAATAATATCACATTGCCTGAAAATTTTAACAATTCACATATATTATTGCCTGAAAATTTTAACAATTCAGATATTATTGCCTGAAAATTTTAACAATTCAGATATTATGGCCAATTCTGTTATTGTTCTTGTTGTGGGAAGATGTGAACATTCACATTGCCTGAAAATTTGCCTGAAAATTTTAACAATTCAGATATTATTGGTGTTGTTGTTCTATGCTGTCAACATTCACATTTGCTGAAAATTTTAGGAGAGTCAGATGTCGGCGGTGTTAATGTTCTACGATGCGAACATTCACATTGCCTGAAAGTTTTAGTTCAATCAGATATTATTGGTGCTTTTGGGCTAGGCTGTGAACATTCACATTGTCTGTAAAATTTGCCTGAAAATTTAGGACATTCAGATATTATTGGTGTTGTTCTTCTATGCTGTCAACATTCACATTTCCTGGAAATTTTAGGAGAGTCAGATGTTGGTGGTGTTAATGTTTTACGATGTGAACATTCACATTGCCTGAAAGTGTTAGTTCAATCAGATATTATTGGTGCTTTTGCTCTAGGCTGTGAACATTCACATTGTCTGAAAAATTTTAGTTGAGTCAGATATTATTGGTGCTGTTGTTCTATGCTGTCAACATTCACATTGCCTGGAAATTTTTGGATAGTCAGCTATTGTTGGTGCTGTAGTTCTAGGCTGTGAACATTCAAATTGCTTGAAAATTTTAAGAGAGTCAGATTTTATTTGTGCTGTTGTTCTATGCTGTGAACATTCACATTCCCTGACGATTTTAGGACAATAAGATATTATTGGT